TGAATAAATTTGGATTGTTAGGCAAAATAATAAAATTTGCACAGCAATCTATGCAAAAATATAAAAGGCTATTCAATATGCATAATTTATACAGATCAAAGAATTCCACTTGACACATTGTTTGGTAGCCTCATCCAGGAGTCATAAACTAGAAAAACATCTGATGTATTTAAAATTAATAAAGCATCATTGTCTGATCTTTATTGCTGCAATCTATTTTGCACTCCCCTCCACACTTAGAAATGAAGGTAAAAATTGGATTGATTTTCATCTTTGAAAGATAATATGGTTTTCTTATGGTGCCACCAGATTCCACTTTGAGTTCTTGTTTTTCAAATGAGATATTGTACTGCTTTCCTCTTAATGTTCAATCTTTTCATGGAACAAGGGAGCCCCAAATGTGGAAGTGATTTTCACTTCAGGGTTTCAGTGTTCCATCCTATTACAAACTGACTAATTGCCAAGTGGGCATCTTAAGCCGATGGCTCAACCTTGCTTGGTCAATAAAGCAAAGTGTTCATAGACTGGCATAAACTTTGCAGGATGGATCCAAACATGGAAGAGAAGGACAGAACTGTCATATTTCATTTAATGCCCAGAAGAATGCTAAACAAGTGTACTTCAGAATTCTCAGGGAATTTCCAAAGTATCACAGGATGGGCATTTGAAAGCAGAATACTGCTTTGCAAAAATGTCTTTCTGTTTTCTTAGCTATTTTCTTTTCTAGCTATTCTTCCCAAATGCAACTTTCTCAACCTCTATACTTTCTCAAGTTTTTCAATTTCATACTTTCTCAAATATAAAGTTATTGTGGAAGTAACATTTGGAGACAGAACTAGTTTGATGTAGTACAGTGATAATGTATTAGGCTAAAAACCAGGAGACTATGAGATCTAATCCCATCTTAGGCACCAAGCCAACTGGGTGACCTTGGGCCACTTACTCTCTTTCCATCCCAGGAAAAAAGCAATGGCAAATCACTTCAAAAATATATTGCCAAGAAAACTTCAGGACTAGTTGCCTGGAGTCAAAAGGCACTAAACCCCCCCCCACTCCTCCAGTTGGTAAAATGTAGAAAGTTGAGGGGGAGTTGATGAATATTTTCTAGGACCCTATTCCACATTTTTTTAGAGGGAAGAGTGCCTTTGAATCAGTTTTGATTCCTGGTAACTGCATGCAATTTTCTCAGCAAGATTTCTGAAATTGTTTACTATTGCCAACTTCCTAGGACTGACAGAGAGTGATTGGCTGGAAATCACCCAATTGTCTTTGTGCAGGACTAGAACTCATGATCTCCCAGATTCTAGCCTGGTGCTTTAAATGCATCTCACACTTCCCATAGCAATCAGAAGCAAAATTATTGATAAAAATCACAAATATTGTAGAACGTATTGTACAAAATGATGCAAATATTCATGATGTAAAATTTCACAGAATTTAGCTCTGCTTTTTTGCTTACCTGGATTTAACATTTGAAAGAACAGTGGGTGGCATGCAGATCCATGGAGTGAAGCTTAGGCTGGGCCACAGAGCTACATAGCAGCATAAGGAATGGTTTAGAAAATGGTAGCTGATGGAACAGCAAGGCCTAGATCTGCATAGATATTCCAGAGCCAAATACTGGAAGACTTTTGTTTTTTATTTTTATTTTTTTAAAACCTTTTGTTGCCAATGAGGCTCATTGTCAGAAGGGTAACAGAAACAACCACCATTTTATTCCTATAAGTCATTAGAATGTGATGATTTAAAAGAATTAAAAATGAAATTTGTGTATTGTTTTTTCTTCACAAAAATCATTAGGGATGAGTCTTACAACAAAATAGTGAAGTTATTGTAAAAAATGGAAGGAAAGAACAGTGCTAGTTATGGGATTGCAACTTAAGTATCACTACATGAGCATACAATGGCTTACCCAGCAAATCACAATGAACACAAAATACAGCACACACCCACAATGAGATCACCATCACTATTACAGCCCCAATCTCAGATGTCAGAACATCGGTTTGGCTATTTGAGGATCCCTGCATGAAGACTTTATGGTCTAAAATTATCCAACTGCACATGAAGTAATTCTAATTATTATTTGGGGTATCAGATTCTGAGAGAAGATGTACACGGTAAATTCCATAAAGCAGCAGCGGGAGAAGGCGTAGTGTACTGTATGCTTCAACTTTATCAAAAGATCTTATCGCTGCATGGAGACAAACACCTTTCTCCACCTTTCTCCCCCCCCCCCCCATTCCTATCCTGCTGTTGGCCTCTCATCCGCTGGCACCATCGTATTTTATGTGGCACGACATTTTATGGAAAATGCTCGTTCCCCGACCCCACCTGTTCCCAAGCTGCGCAAAAGCCCATTAATGAAGTTGGGCTGGTCTAGGAAGCCAGCCAAATCCTTGTGTCCTCATCAAAAGAGACATCTGTCCTTATGAAGAAGCAAGGGATTACCCAAGGGATGGAGGGAAGGAAGGAGGGGACGAAGGCTGCCAAGGGGGGGGGGAAATGTTTGTGAGGAGCAAAGCACTGTCTCTTTGATACAGATTGCCCCTTCCCCATTGTTTCTAAATGTAACATTCCTTAGCAGAACTAGAGATTCCTATCTGCTCTGGCCAAAAACAGGGACAATGGCCTGAATTCCAGGCCTAAAATGCCCTCACCCACTGCTTGGGACCTGCACCACCTTGTTTCTGCTTCTCAGGGAGGGGAAGAAATTGTTAAAAAGCTCCTGACTTTCTTTTTTTATTCATGTGTTGTTTTATTGCTGGCAAAAGCTGTCAGAGGGTGACTTCTGCCAAAAAGCATCCCTGAGCATCTTGGCCTAACATACAAATGGCATGCTAATGTGGAAATTTTAAAGAGCCTCTTTTGGTTTTTAAATCAGAATTTTAAATGAATGGCAAGGCACAGAAGGGACCCAGTCAAACGCTAACAATAATAGCACATCTTTTCCCCTGCTTCTCCCCCACCCCCACCTCCAAGATCCATCAGGCAAGGAACGTGGCAAGAATTTACCACACTCAGCCTTCTTCAAGTTGATCATTCTAAGGGAAGTGAATACTAAGCTGGCCTGCTTCGAAGTACAGTGTTACTAAACTGGAGATATTCTCTTGGAGATAGGCTACAGTTAGCCTATACCCAAATGATCAAAACAGAGTGATTCCGCACATGGGCAGAGTGCCCCTCTCTGCGGCATTATAAAAGAGCAGGGCTTTAAATAAGTTGTTCACAATAAGCAAAATCTTCTGCTTATTGCTCCTCACTGTTATTACTTCTTACAAGAAAAAAAAATTCATGTTGATATTATTTATGTAGTGGTATTAAAATTTCTTTATCTGCAATCGTAACACACTCAATGATTGACAACTGAATATGTGGACTATCAACAATTGGGGAGAGCACTATCGGCAGGCCCAGTTAGACAGAAAGGCGTCAGATTTGTTTCTTCATAACGAAATGAGTGTTTAAAAATCATAAGGAACACCCAAGGGTGAAAAGAAGAAGAAAATTTGCTCTGCATTTCTTCTCCACAATTATTATTGGGAGAGGAGGACAACACCTATAGGAATGGGAAGAGCCCAGCTGCTTACATCTACAAGCCAAAGTTTGCAGTTAAAATGAACTTCACCCCTTCTTGCTACAAGAATCTAAGTGATCTGGTTTTAAGTACATGAAACAACTCCCATTGAATCTGCTTGAGTCCTGAAGTGATTAAAGAATAGTGTGCAATTTAGTCTTCTCTATCCTGATTTTCTCCAGATGTTCTGGGACTACAACTTTCAGAGTTGCTCCAAGATATCTGGTGGACACTAAGTTGAGAAGGCTAACAGAGAAAACTAGATCAGGGATAGTCTGTTGACTCAGTCGCAACTCACTGTATGTTTATTCATTCAGAAATTGATTCAGATGTTGATTAAGTGTTTCTGAAAGAAAATCTTTTCCATGGTACTTTACATGAATTAAAATACAACTACACCCTGATTCACATGCCATGTGTGTACATGGAATACCTGGCCCATGTGAGAACTACCTCAGCCTAAAAGTCCATATTGGTAACAACCAATAATTAATACCTCCATGCACAAAAATATGGAAGCCATCAAAAATCACTTAAAAGCTCTGACTTGTGGCCATTCTCCTTAAAGGATAGCTATATATGTGAGAGAAAATAATACATATTTGTAGGTGACCATGAACTCCCATACCCAGTCCTTTATTTCAGGGGAGAAGACTCTCTTTACATAGGCATTCACAAGGAAGCAAGTGACAAAATGTACATTACAATGTCATGATTAAACCTTTATCTTTTATATATATGTAGGCAACTTTGTAATGGAAGTGTGATGGGACACAAGTTACATTATAATGTCACAATGTATGTTTCATCATTTTGGTTTAATGTACATCTTCATTATCCCTATTCAGAATTTGCTGAAGTACATTTCACAGTATTTTTCCACCGCTGGACATGATTGCCAGACAATTGAGAGTTCCTCATTCTTATCCTGTTCTGTTGCCATCTCTGTGTAAGTCTCAGACAGATACACCTACAAGTAGGTTTAACTTTTAATAGATATGAGGAGGGGGAGAGAGAGAGAGACAGACAGACAGACAGACAGAGACAGAGAGAAATATGGCAAAGTTAAGTAGTGCTCTTTTTTTATTTTGTTATAAAATTAATTCCAGGGAGCAATTTGCCTTGTAGATTTTCTCCCTTAACCTTCAATATAGCTTAGGTTCTTCTTTTTTCATTCATCTATCCATCTTTCAGATGTATCTTTCATTTAAAACCTTTTAGAAAAAAGCATCTCTTAGAAATGAGTTTTCCATAAACTGCAAATGGCTGCTTTTCTTTTCTCTCTCTTTCTGCATAAAATCAATTTATTGATATGAATCATGTACATGATCTAGGAAATATTAGGATTTGAGCACATAACATTACTCAATGTTGCCTTGTTTATTATAATGTATCACAAAGAGTTCTAGAGAACTCAGCTGCATATTATTTTGTAATCTATTTTATTACAAATTAAAACAATGGGAATTAAAAGTAACATTATTTACATATGGCACAGCATTCATAAGTAAATTAACTTTATGCACACAACTCAAAGAACTTTTGAATGAGTGGCGTCATTTGGAATATTTGTCCAAGATTTAATAATAAATCAAGTTTTACAAAACCTGAGTTGAGGACCACTTTCTACAGATTTCTTCCTTGAATATCCCTTCCTGCCCTAATCACAGTCCTTCCTTATATTCTTATTGGGGAACTCTAAGCTAATGTTTCTTATAAGATTGGAATAAAATCAATATCAAATCCTAGTTCATTACATGAACTTCTTAAACTGGCTAGGTTAAACTGTAATGCTCCACTTAAATGTATATAAAACCTTTAACTAAAACATGTGGTTTGGACTGCTATAGAAAAATTTGATTGAGAAGTCTGCCATTCTATCTTCATTTGTTCAAATCTCTCCTACTTTCTTTTTAAAATATTGAATTAATTTTGGCAGCTGAACTATAAAACTTTCTGAAAAATAACATTATCCTTACTGTGATACTCAACAAACAGTTGACTGAACAAAATGAGGTCTTTGGTTTAACTAGCTCATTTGTTATTTCATTTACAAGTTTTTGTTTTTGTTTGTCTGTAATTGGAATAATTCTGATGATTACTTATGCAATTTAAAACATTTGTATATATGCCACCTTTAGAATCCAATTGAACTATATAATGCAAATAAAATAGCTAATTAAAAACAACAGTCATCATAATTATCAACCTGTGTGGCAGAAAAAAATCCTCTAACATAAAGCTTGGGTTTACATATTCCACTAAAACACAGTTGGCTTCATCCTAACTCTAGTTTATTGAATAGGAATTAACTAGCTGGGTTCTTACAACACAACCATAAGCCATGGTGTGCACATCTAGAAGCTGAATTTACATAAAACATTAAGCCAGACTCAAATAAACCGTATTGCTACTATGTTCAGGGAGAAGAGGTACAATGACAGGCTACATGGAAGTGCCCCCCAAACCCCTTTTTAAACCCACAGAGTGAAGGGGCAAATGGGTGGGTTAAGCCTTGCAAATCAAATAAATAGTTTCTAGCTGTAGACACATCAATAATAAAACACTGAGATACTAGGATGAAAATTGGTGTCCTTGCGTAGGACATTATCTCCTTTTATCTCCAACTAGCACTGAAAATTCAAAGCATGATTCTCTTGTAGGAAGAAAAACCATGTAAAACATTATGCAATATACTCAGCAGTCTATTTTGTAACAAAGAGGTCAATGCAGAATTCTTGTGGCTCTTCTCTAATATTTATGTAGATAAAACTAGGTTACATCAAACCAGAACAGGGCTTCCAGGTCTGTGGTCCATTTAAGCTCCAGCAGCTGTTTATGTTAAAATCAGACACAGACTGGCTTCTCGAATTACTAAGCTATAATGTGATTTTTCCCTCCAAATGTGTGCCTTAGCCTAGTACATGAAATCTGTTTGTAAACCATGACTTCTGGTTTAGCTGTTTGAACCCAATCACCTATACTTTTTCCATAAATCATCAGTAAGAAATATGTGAAAAATGTTTCCTTCTACTGTTTTTTATTAGGGATAATTTTATTGTGTCTATTGGAATTAGCGAAGTCCAGGGTCAAATTCAGAAGATGTTGTAAACCATCTAGCAAATATTAGTAGCCAAATGTAAATTTAAAGAGCTAAACAGATTAGAGTCATTAAGGCAAAAAAAAGAGTACAAATTCAAGAGAACAGTCCAAAGTACAATCAAACGTTCCAAGAGTTAAAGAGACAGAATGTCAAGATCAGAGTTTGCTCAAAATTAAACTGTTGTTCTCAGCAATTAGCAATTAGTGTTCAATCTTTCTATAATAAGAGTTTCTATTTTAAAAAAAATGGTTTTTGGTTTGCCTCGTTATAAAAATAGACACCAAAATGTCCACATGCAGATGCCAGTATTATGGAGAAGTCAAGTTGAGCTGATGTTTCTTTCTTCCAAATTGACAGACTTCAAATTTAAAATGGATGGTAATTTCCATGAACTTCTTTCTGTTCTTTCCTGAAAAAGAGGAGTCTGAGGTAATAGCAGCAAGATTCAACTATATAAGATAAAGAAAAAAACATGAATTTCTATGTAGCGGGCTGAATAAGAGCACCATTGTGATATTATATTTATTTATTTATTTTATCCTGCATTTATTATTTTTTATAAATAACTCAAAGCATTAAACACATTTAATACATACCCTTCCTCCTAATTCTGATTAAAATGGCAAACACAATTTATATTACATCATAAGAAGTATAACTTTCAAATCATGAAAAGAAATAGTTCAGAAATTTTGATGGCCTAAATCAATGTTTCCCAATTTTTTTCCTTCATTACCAAAATGAAAGAAAGTCTTATCTAACTTTGATAAGTCTTAAATTAAATCCCTTCTTTCAGTAATGTCATAATTTTGAATGGTCATTGAATAAATGATCATAACTCAAAGACTACCTGTATTATAAAAACAATATCAATCAATGATCTTAACTATCATTTCAACAAATTATTGTTGATAATTTCACCAATTTTTAACTTAATAGGAATATTTGGAAGATTTTTGAATATATTTTAGTACACGTGGCAATCTTTAAATCAATTTAAATGTCCCTGTTGTGATGGGTAATTGGTTTGGATATCAATACTCAAAGAAAAACCACTTTTATCCAACTTTGAGTAATTTACCCAGGTTTGGGACACGCTCACCTACATGATCTCTTCCAGCTTTGATTCTATGATTCTATCCTTCAGCATTTTTTCCATATAGGTTTTCTCATATTCTCTGGACTGAGCTGTTGAAGTAGGTATATTTGCCAGTGAACACTATTTCAGTCTTTTAATATTGGCTTTCTGCTGGTTGAGTTGGTTGCATGGCTAGCACCCACCATAGTTTCTAACTCCAAATGTAAAACACAGTTTGGAGCATCACACCTCAACAACCACCACCCCGCTCTTTTATATATATGCACAATACACATATCACATGTTTATGAGTAGCTATTCTCATGTAGCTAGTGAAAACTTATTCTCATCCATGGGCTGACTCAATCTGGGCTAGTCCATGTGAACAGATTGCATTTTTAAAATGTTTTAATCTTTTCTTCCCCTTTCATTTCTGCAAACCACATGGTGTTCCCTTAAAAAAAAAAATAAAAGTCACCCATCAAACTCTCCACTCTCCCCCTCCCTACATTCTTTGCCATCATGGTGCCAGCAATTTATTAAAGATGAATGTACTGATTGTTGCTAAGCAACAGGTCTCAGCACAGGACAATCAGAGAATGCAGTGTGCTGGCAACCTGATGGGAAATGTGCTTGGAAAAGTTGCCCAGAATTCAATACCACCCTCAAAGCTGGGTACAAAGGTCCTTCTGAGCCTTTCCGCATAATTATGTAAGGCATGCCCCAAATACCTTTTTTTTTAAGAAAAAAAAAACCCTCACTGCATCAGCTCCATAAGGTAGAATTAGAAAATGGCAGTGAAGCACCACAACTGCATGTAATGGATCTGGGAAGGAATAACTTATACTGCTTGGTTTTTTGAAAGGTATGCGAACTGCATGCTGTCTGTTTTCTGTGGTAGTTGCTGATGTATGTATTTACAAATCACTTAGGTCAGAACTAAGGCTCACTTATTAGATGGGGAGAGGGAATGCAGCTACAATGGGTAAGTAATGGAGTCAAGTGGAGAGGACTGCATCACATACTTGGACAAAGCTGGGGTTTTCTTTTTTCTGATAGAGTGAGGTTGGGGTTTTTCTCATTAACATTATTAATCAGATCTTTATAGAACTTATTCTGCAAAGGTCCTGTGCTCCTCAGTTCAAAATGGTAGGAAGTTGAGATCAGAGGGAGAAAAAAAAGAGATTTGAGGTTACATAAACAGCTCTGCCATGATCCTTCAAAAGAATATTTGAAGAGAGTGAAAATGAAGAGATGTGGATGTAGTTCTACTGGATTTGAAGTGCACAAATCAAAACAACCATTAGATGGCAGCAAAGAATTTTTAGATTTTTCCTAGTGGAGGAAGCATACTTGGGAATAATTCAGATTGTTATCCAAGAAGCTGTATCTTTATTCATTTGTTAGTAATATGTATCATATTATTTTCTTCAACAAAGTTCAAGAACTTTGTTGGCTTATAAATATATAATATACAATAATTAATCTAAACAGAAAGTTGCGTCAATAACACTAAAAAGTAAACTCCCAAAATCTCTTTCAACATTGTCTGAAAAACCACATCATTCAATGTTCTAGACAACACTGAACCCTGGAGATCTATGTTTTCCATGAGATACTGCAGGGCCTTCACTTGCCACTTTGCTGTTTATTGAATAGGGAGGGATCTCTTGGCTTCCCCTAAGGGTGACAAGGTCTCTGAATGAAAAAAAGAAAAAGAAAAAAAATGTACACTAGAGATTCTGAACTGAACATATAAGGAAGGAGAGATGCATGTATCAAATAAGTTGAAAACAGACTGTGCATATAGAAATATGGAATCTCCAGTTATTATATTTATAAAGAAGAGGGCATTATACTACTGGAAGGAAGGATTTAAATGAACTGGACCCTGCACTAGCAAATATTTGAGGGAAAGATATATCTGTTCATCCCATTCTCCTAACAACTTAGCTATGAAATACGCACATGCATACACACACACACACAGATGCGCGTGCGCGCGCGCGCGCGCACACACACACACACACACACACACACACACACACCGTAAGTTAAATCTCCCATGAGCAATGCAGCTGTTAGGGTTTTAGCTGGCTATTCGCTATATACGTGCAATTCATTCAGAGTCACACACTGTCTTGAGTTACTGTCAAAAGGCAATTCAAATATGATCCTGCAGAAGAATAAGTTTAAATGCCAGCTTGGACTAAGACTAAGGAATACAACTTTGAGAACCTGACTTCAAATCTCACTTGATTATAAAAGGTAGGCAGGTAGGCAGGTGGAAGGGACAGAAGAAATGTTGATAGATCGGGTAAAACAAGTCTTTAGGGCATAGAAAACTGACCTTCAGAAAATAATTAATATATTGGCAGTATACTATGTGTTCGAGATCTCTCATTTAAGGCACGCTCAAAACTAAAATAGAAGCAAACAATCCTGCCTCCCTTCTGTATTTTGGACCTACCTGCAAATTTTAAGCTGATCTGAACAAAGATCTGTTCTCTTATGTAAAAGGCTAGGTGCAGAAATTTGCAGCTGTCTGATGGAGCTGTATGAAATGCAGACCTATGTTTTGCCAGATATTTCTTCTATTGGCAGTACATGTTATTCAGCCCCAATTCCATGTAAAGTAACCTGGGGTTAGGGTGTGTATGTGTTATTGTATCTTCATGTCTCTAAATATGCATTTCTGTGTTTGTGAAATTCTCCCTTCCTTCTCCCTGCCTCATGATGGGTGTGGGAGGATCTGTGTGTGTGGAAGGGGAAACTGAAGTTTCTCTAAAGCAGACATGTCAAACTCGTGACGTCATGTGATGTCGCACAACGTATTGGAGCTTTTTTGCCATTGCTGGCAATGTGGTGGGCGCGGCTCCAATATGATGAAACCGGCCCGCGGGCCAGCAGTTTGACACCCCTGCTCTAAAGTGAATGGAGGAAACTTCTGGTTCAGTTTGGAATGGCTCTTGTTTGGGGCCAGAAGAAACCATTGTCAGATGCTTTAGGAAGCAAAAGAGAGAAGAAAGCTGAAGATGTGCATGCCCCAGGAAGGCTAAATACTGTTAGCCCTTGTTTAGCAACTACCTCATTTAGTGACCATTTGCAGTGGTAGTGATGAAAAAGAAACTTTGTGACCAAACTTTGCAGATATATGAAGCAAAGCTGAAATGGGATTGTAAGCACAGTCACAGATTCATTTAGCAACCATTTCACTCAATGAGCAAGTTGCTGATCCTAATTGTGGTTGCTAAACAAGGACTACCTGTAAAAATAGTGAAGTTGTAACCCTGAAGATGGAAGATCAAGGGTTGAGGTGATCAGTGAGTGAGTGATCAAGTAGGAAGAACTTTGTTTCCCATCATTTTCCATCTCTGATTGTGAACCATGCTTATTTTAAAACATCAATGGAGAAACTAAAGCAGAGATTATTACCAGAGGATAAGAAGAGAGTACCAAGAAGCACCTGATTTGTGTTAAGTATGGGCCCACATGCATTATTAAGCTGCCTGACATGATCAGACATGATCCTCTGGGCCACTTGGTCAGAACAGAGTGATGTATTTATTGAGGGAAGGGGATGCACCAACATTGGATGTAAATGTCCCTTTTCAAGCAGTGAGGGGAAAGACGTATAAAGGGCAAAACACTTATACTGAATCCCATCAAATGAACATTCAATACATACACAGAGGTGTTCTGCTGCTTGATATTTCCTTAGGAAACTGGCTGGAGATAGAGGCAAGATTTACTTGGGAGAATAACATTTTGCTTGAGGGGCATTTTTTTAACACAACCATTGGCAGACTTGAGGAAATTGGGTGAGTTGGATAAGGTTCTTCACCTATCCACTGTGCATCAGAGGATACACTCAGCTAGCTATCATTCTTGCCAGCTTATATTTGATATTTTATCCAAAGGTGTTTTCACGAGCTGTACGTTTGGCTTGGATCCATTTGTGAGTCATGTATTCATTGCATTTTTCTACATTCAGCCATCCTCTCAAAATGAAGTCCAGGATGCCATGTGATGGCTTCTAAGAGCCTTGAGCATAATTAAGCCTGCTTAGCTTCAGAAATGTGACTTTAGATCATAAGCTTTGGGCTACAAAAGTCAATAGCCTTGCCCTGAAGTAAAGGCATTCAGGAATATTTCCAACTCTAGAAATTCTGGGAGTTGTAGTCCAAATACATCTATAGGGCAGAAATGGGGAAAATTGCCTGTAGCCACTTGTAACCATCAGGGACTTTTATCCATGATACTTATCTCCCATTAAAGCTAGGAACTATCACCATATCTGTGGCTATGGAGGTGAGTTTGATAAGTGGTGCATTTAGATAAAATAGTCCTGACAGTTACCTATTCAGAACTCTTATTGTCAAATGAATTCAACGGTTTATGAAGTATAATGACAGAAGAAGAAGAAAAAAAACAGGTATTTCTTTTTTGCTTTCCATATTCCTCAATATATTTCATGGGGAAAAAAACCTGGCCCCAAAGTCCACTGGTCAAACTAAAGGCAGGCAGAATTAAGATATAGAATGTTAACGTATGTCAGGAATAAATGAGTGCCACAAAGGAGTATAATCTGTTTTTCTAATATGACCACAAGCAGAGTGTTAGTGGAATTAGGCCGACAGCTGCTACGTTATTTTTTCCTCTTTCAACCCCCCTTCTTTGCCACCCCTCCTCCCAATCACTCCACGCGCCAGTAGGAAAAAAAAAAACCAGCACCCACCACCATCCTATTTCTCTGCCTCCATTCTGCGGTTTTTCCGCAGGCACTGCTGCCGAGTTGGCAGTCCTTCGGCGTCACACCTTACTGCTTTTCAAGATTGCTCCATAGAGAGCTGGGGAAAATGGCAATTTTGTGTTGATGCCGCTTGGCAGCGGGGGAAGAGTGAAGAAAAAGTTGGAACCCGTGCCAAGGCTTCCCTAGGGAGAGATTGGAAAGATAGAGAGAGACAGGCATAGTGAAAGTTCAAACACACACACATCACATACATGAAATACAGTTGACTACTTATGCATGTCCCATGTTGAAATCAACAAACTTCATTCTAAACATATAAACATGCAAATACATGATGTGATGGGAAGATGGGAAGAGAGAAGGTGTTGAAAGTGTGTTCTTTTCTATGTGTTTGTGTATGTTGCTTAATTTTTTTTTTTTTGGATAGCAGTAGAATGCAGTATGCAAATGAGATTGTTATTACCGCAATGTTCATCAAGCTGAGCTGAGAAGACATTAATAGCCTGATGAATATGCATGTGAATTTGTTAATTAAGTTAATTATTCTGCTGAAAATGCATTCGTCTTCCAAGGACATTCTCCCAATGATTTCTACATGCTCCACTCATTAGTCATGCTATATTTTATCAGTGAAATGAGTTTGCTTAAGTTGTAAAAAAAAAAAAGGAAAAGGAAATATAAAATAAACGAATGAATTAAAAAGGGAGGCGATAAAGGGTAAAAGTGTCAAAAATAAATAGCTAAAAAATTTAAAGTGACAAATACCAAACAAAAGTTTGAAGGACTCTGTAGTTTGGAAACAACAATGTATTTTTGCTGGAGGAGGGAGCTATGAGGGTAATCCAAGTGCAGTCAATTTACTTTTCCGTCTGTCCATCTCTCTTTTTTAACTTCTGTCTTTTGTTTGATGAAAAAAAACTTTTTTTTATTCTGGTGCCAAATTTCCAACACATTAATTAATTGTTGTAGCCAATTAACTGTAGTTGTGCAAATGAGTTTAGCACTAATTACCATGCAGTGCTTGTAATCACATAAAAACTTGCTGAGAGAGAGAAGGAGGGGGAGAGAAGAGAGAGAGAAAGGGGGAAAAAGGAGGAAAGAAGAATAACTGATAAGGGTTGAGTATTGTTAGCTTAAAACAATGGTGCAAGTAGATACACTAAATTAGGGTCCCCAGAATTACAGAGCCACCAGAATAAAATGATAAAAAAAATTGGAAGGGGTTCTACTTAATAATCTAAGTATGGTATGGAGCCCTGAAAATATCTAGGGAGTGGCTTGATAAGTCACCAGGTGGAGTCTAGCCATTGCATCATTCTGTTTTTAATGAAGGCAAGTATTCAGAAAAAAGAATGTCTGCCCGTATATATGGTTTCACTTAAAAACAATCAAATATTTTAATATGACAAAAATTTCCATTATATTACACCATCTTGATTGTGACAAAATATTGTTACTCTCCCTGGGGCTATTTTTAGATTGAGAATTGCTTGTTGTTTGTTTCACTCTAGCTATTGCTGACCAGCCCAAATAAGAAAGATCCTAGAAAGAAGTTGAATCTATGATTCTGTGGTGTAATAGTAGCTTTCCCCAGCCTGCAGTTCTCCAGATGTTTCATGTCCTGCTAACTGAAAACTATGAGAGTTTTATTCCAATACATCTAGAAGACATGATCTTGGAGAAGAGTAAACTTGGTATGAGTAAGATTGGAAACATACCAAGGGAAGACACAAAATTATGATAGTCTCAAATGAATACTGTGTACATCAGAATAAGCCTACTGGAATGGCCACCCAAGGCCAAATCCATCTGAGAGGGTCCAAAGATTTCCTGTTGGAATGGATCAATAAAAAAAGAACACATGGAATTGGGAGAAGAGACTCTTCTTGCTAAGTTACATATGCAATACTTCAGTAGATAGCTATTCTTGATTATCATGTTCAGAATCTGATCATCATATAAAGTTCAGAGCATGCAGGATAATACTGTATGTTTCCATTGCTCTCTTTTGACCCACTTTTCAAAGAGAGCAGGCATTTCAGCTTTATTTGGACATCCAAAACTGGCCATTCATTTATTAGATAATAAATCTAGAGGAGGACTTATATTAAACTAGAACTCATGCTGTGCTATAAATTATAAAAATTCCATGAATGTGAAGCTTTGGAAGGTTATCAGCAGTATTAAAGAGAGGAGGCGCATCAGTAGAAGTGCATTTTTACAGTCAATTATTGAAACAATCAAATATGCTTTTGCCATGGACAAATTCCATATATATGCCTATATGTTAACATATTAACAAACTAATTACTTGCACTGAATTACTTTCTTCTGCCAATCCCCACACTGACAGAAATAGGGTGTATAAAGAAAGAATAAAAATCCCAGTATTTCTATTAAAAAGAATTTCCATACTGGTTGTTGCATGCTATATAATAGACAAGTTGTATTTGTATGTGTGCATACCTCAATTTACAGTATAGTTCAGAAACATTAGATACATCATAAAGCAATAATTAATGCATTAAAATAAATGCAATTATTGCTTTAAACTAATAAAATAACTACAACAATAGGCATTTTAAAAGTCCAAAAACACCAATCGTACAAAAAGTTTAAAAATAAACTAGTGGGATTAAGAAGAGAATGCATATTTACAAAAGTAGATGTTTAAGCATACAATATCCTTTTTATAGGCATATATACAAATATATTTATTTACAAAAGTCTGTCAACATCCAGCTCAAGAATCCAAATTCTGTCTCCAAAAATCTTATTCTTTATTGAATACACTGCATGGTAATGTTGAAGCAAAACCAACTATGTCAAAGCAAAACTTTGACTATGAAGTTCCAACACAATTTATAGACTTAAACAATAATTTTCCCAGTCAAACCTTAACATCTTATATAGTCCATATAAACAAGTTCACTTTGTTATGGGAACCATCTGTTTCAAATCCACACCTGATATTATGTCCTTGAAAAAGTTTCAGGCTCTAACAGTCTTCAGTGGAACTGTAAAAGTTTTCTTTCTCCATCTAACACGCTTGAAAATAACACCTCCACACCTTACTCTAAGTTGAAATGCAGACGCACATAGCTGCCAAAGTTTCTTCTTTGATAAAGTCATTCATTCAGTCAGTCAGTCAGGAACTGTCTATCTATCTATCTATCTATCTATCTATCTATCTATCTATCTATCTATCTATCTATCTGTCAGTCAGTCTCTCTCTCTCTCTCTCTCTCTCTCTCTCTCCTATTCATCTATAGAGAGAGGCTGTATTCAAAAACTACTCAGAAACAATGTTTCAGAAATGCATGAACACAGCACCTCTCTGCTATTCATTAAAGCAGCCCTTCTTTTTCTGGGTTCCATGCCAGCCTTTAAAAAAAAGGCACAGCTGGATTTTCCCCCCTTCATTTTCAACAGACACCTGGAAAAAAACCCACTTACTTTAATGAAAAGCTGAAAAATGCATTTCTGAATCATTTCTGAAAAACATTTGCATGCAGGGAAGCCTTGTCTGCTTGTGCTACACCATATGGCTGAGTAAACAGTATGTGCCTGCATGCCACTTGTGCAAATTGCAAGGAATGAAGAGTTACCACACCTAAATTATAGCTGGAAAGCAGCATTCTCCAACTTGGGCCTTCTGGGAATGTAGTTGCCAACCAGCCACCAGTGTTTGGCATGTATTTTCTGTGTTGCCGGACCTTATTTTTAAGTGATGGAGTGCCTTGCATTTGCAACTGCTGTACAACTCTAAGTAACTGGTTACATCTGAGACACTGCTACTCAGATGAGGTCATTTTTGAATTCCTATAATATTACTGACCGAGAGAAGGATTCTCCTTTCCCCTGGTCCTATTTGGAATTAAAACTGCTCTTCTTTTATAACAAACCACTATGATGTGCTACTCTGTGAGTGATGGAAGCTCAGGACAGTAATGGCTACAGGTGTGTTTGCACCAAGTTCTCTACCTCAGTGTATGATTCAAGATTCTGACAGACATGAAGAAGTTTTAATGCAACAATAAGGGATAAGTTACAGACTATTGGAAGTTGTGATAGGAACTTCCTGTCCAAATTTATTAGTTACTTCATAAAGATGGAGTCTCTTTGAATGCTTTTAATCTCTTTTTCCTTGGGTTTTTGCAACCTGGATTCGACTGTCATTTATGAGATAAGCTAGTAATGAACTACTGTCCTCTCTGTCAGTTGTTTATGCCTAATATCTTCCCATTACTTTCCCTGTTTCCCAAAAGCTTTTACAAGTAGGATCTGAAAAATATAAATACCAATTTTAGGACTGAATAATCTTTGGATTAGATTACAAAAAAAGAAACAAGGGCTCAAGCATACCAACTGCCTAAAACTCTTTAAAACAGACATATTTTCTTTGCCTTTGACAGTTCCCGTGATCCCAGGAAAACACTATATTCATGCTCTGAAATGCTTTCTTAGAATTGATTTCAGAGCATTGAGCAGCCCTAAATATAAGAGATACCGATGTGGTACATCAGTAAATACATAGACAATTATTATTTTCCAAGCTACATTAGTTTAAGCCTTCAAATATTGTCTATGCCCTTGAGCATTGCAATTTAAGATTTTAATCTACATATTTAGGGCAGTTGCATCCCCATGCAATCTTAGTACAGAATGAAACCAAGTTTCAGCATATATTATGTGAAAAGAAAATAATTCTATAGATTCTTTATTTACTTAGGAAAATTGCCCATAGCTGTACAACATGGCATGCTTCTTGATTCATATTCAGCCTGGTACTGCCACTATCAGCCCACTAAAAATCACAAAACACTCTAATGTCTCAATCTATGTAAGGAGTAGGATACCAAGAAAACCTAATACTCCATTTAAATGAGAATCCCCACCTAATTGGGTCGAGTATAGACTTTCTTTAAACTCTCTTTGTGTTCCTTCTCTATTCACTTCATCCTCCCTCGACTCTCACACCACATCCCAATAGTATGCCTTCCAGATCACACAGGAAATGCTGAAAAAATGGATTTGTAAAGGCATTTATCATTTGAAGTCTAATATCCAAGTGATTTCTAGAGCTGCAAATTTCTAGAAGAGTCTCCATTGCACTCCAATGCTTCCCTGAACTTCTCCAGATATTGACATTAAGCTGTTGTCCACCAGTCCTTAAGCTGAT